TGATCGTTCAGGAAACGGAAAAATTCTTCAAGAGTGTACAAATCCGTCACTTGTAGTACTACATCTTATGAATACATTTTGTGTCTCTGGAAGGTTGAACAGTTTATGGTTTAGGCAAAAGTCTGCAAGAGAAGAGGAATGGTGTAAACAGTGATTAGGTTAGTCCAAATGTTTCAATTATAAGCGATTCAGAACAGTTTCGCGAAATTCCACAGACCTGAAAAAGTGTGCAGTGCAAAGTGCAAAGTCCATCAGTGAATGAAAAGATCGACTTTGCCGACTTTGTTGGAAGGCACAATGACTCCCCAGCAATATCAGGCATGACCTAAAGTGTAGCGTACTGTTTCCGATACAGCAAAGACAAGACACAAACTCAAACTTTTAAATGTAAACTTTTAAGGTGGAGAGTCATAATTACATCATAAAATGATTTTCAATAAGGTGAAGGCGAAAAATTTGGAATGAAGTTCGTAAACAATTATTCAACATAGCTACACCTTCCGTATTTACGGATCAGGACTACCAATCCATTATAGATTTATGGACAGGAAATCCGAAAGGGTAACTTCGAGAAGAGCTGAAGTCCAGATGCGGTCAACTTTTAGCGTAATTATCGTTTCCCATGGGTTTAGATAAATTAGACAAAACGTATTTTAGTCACAAATCAGAACGTACAAGCATCAAAATTTAATTGTGCCCTCCAGAACGACAAATAACGCATCTTTTAAAGTCTTATTCAGCCAATAATCTTTCTTGTTGATAACTGCCTTCATTAACTCTTTATACGAGGTTTCAGTTCGTTGTTCGTTAAGATTTTCAACCTAGCGATCATATATCTACAGTGCGCCACCCAGTACGTCTAGTTAACCGCGATCCGCCCGTGCCGTCTAAATAATGAGCGACGACAAGACTATTCAGTTCACTTCGCATAACGAACGGCAAATCGAAAGAACGCGCATTCTTACCATGAAATACGGCAAGCAACAAATGGCGCTAATTCGCAAACGGCTCCTAGTGGAAATGTGGCTGTTGGAGCAGTTAGAAATTATTTTTGAAGACGAAGTAAGATTTTTTGAGTCAATGATGCGCATTCAAGGGAATCTCATATGTGTTTCTTTCCATAAAATTTTAGTGTGGTAGCAGGTCAAGTCCATTAGCCAATTTAAACTTCATTGTAAAAGTGGTGTGAAATCATGTATAAAACTGTGCTTGAATTATGTATTTGAAAATATTCTGTTTTTTCCCAAACAGAAGTCTGAAATTTCGACCCATTATAGTATTGAAATTTTTTCAGCGTCAGGTTAAAATTCGATTACGCTTGAGGTAGGTTTGTGAAATTGTTTTCCGTCGTTCCTGAGGTGTTATATGAGACGTGCTTTTGTTACCCACTTGTCTGTTAGGTTTAGCTGATGTTTTAACGGGCTACTGCAAGGCATCAACGATGACATGTGCATCAGTAGAATTTTGCAGAATTTTCACCAGACAAAACGCTATAAAAACAATCAGCAACATACAAAAAGCAACTTGACATACTGATATGCAGTACACCGTATAATTAGTTAATTGTTCAGCGTTATAGTTTTAATGCTGAGGCACTAGACTAATAGAACGAGAGAGTCATGCTGTTGCATTTAATGTGGCTTGGTCCCTCGGTCGCTTGGACGTCCGTCTGGCAGTCGAAAACTGGTAAATTGGTTTGTTTGAAACATAGCGATGGGTCATCTGCTACTGAGGAAGTGGAATGAAGCTGCAGATGGCGTACTTTGTGCTTTTTAACATAGCTGTGCAAATTTTTTTCGTAAATTAATTATTGCTGGCCTATGATTTCGGAAAGTTGCCCGTGCTTGTTATCTCGCTGTCTGCCTTGAGGCACACAGTTACAGGAAATGCGTAACTCTTGGTAGTTGATGCATTTCGGAAATGAGTCCATGCAGAAAATTCTTTGATAAAGAATACAGCCTACATTACCAGATTTCGCAGCGTATTGCACCGCCACACAGCGTATTGTTCATAGTTCCCTGAGGGGGGGCATTTAAACATGCCACAGTTTGATGGTATTTTAGCACCTGCAATACCAGATGT